GGGGGGGGGAGTGTAAGGAAATAGAAATCTCGTCCTTCCCCGCCCAGTATTCGCCCATTAGGGAGAGCTTCCGGGAGTTCCCAAACACGAAGTCAATAGTAGCAATTTTCGTGCACGCCGAGGGCGCGAGTTCTTCACGCCAAAGTGTGCGCCGTTACCATTCAAGCTGTTTACGTAAGATAACACCCCTGCAATTTTCTTCTAAGACTTAGAAATTCTGAAAATGTTTTCATTTTTTTGGGGGGGGGAGGAGGCAGGGGGGGATATTACCCCAAGCCGGCCTGGACTCCATTCCCCTGTCCCCCTCCCCCCAAAAAATTAAAAACAAGGAACAAGGAACAAGGACAAAGTAGTTCAAAAAAACCATAATCACTCGGAGCGCACGCTGTTTGGAGTTGCTAGTAGTATCCCCGGAGAAGAATCCTCGACAGTGGCAGCGTTGTAAAGATGAAAGACAAAGTTATAGTCTTGATGAGACTTCGCTCCTTCACGACAAAAATTGCGAAAAAATGTTGCCTAAGTAAAAAACAATTTGGAACAGCGTTTCAAAACACAATTCCCCAACCAACCCCTTTTCCTCACCCGACCCTCGCCACCCCTTACATTCACCACAAAACTACTTTCTGACGGCCCAAAATGGCAGCCTGGTAGTCCCTTGCCGATTTCTCCTGACATCCTTGCTCTGCGTGCCATCATTTGGGTTGTCGTCTGGGGAAAGACTTCCTCCTTCTTCATCTGAAGAGTCATCGTCACCGTAAGCTACAAGCGAAGCTATTCCTGAAGCCTGGGCAGACACGTCCTCCTCTGTCTTCGACTTTTTTACATCAGCTTGGGGCAAAGGCAAGGATGGAGCCTCTCGTTTGCCTGTGGTCGGAGGAAAGACAGGCCACAACACAAAGCAAATACAGAACAATTCAAGTAAAAGTAAAAAGAGGAAGTTAGGTTACCAGCATCACAGAGTCCACAGCAATTCACATGAAACAAGAACAAAATTCAAATTAGTATGAAAATCAAAACAACACAACGTGCTGATGTTACTGTCATTTGTCTTAAAATAATAAGTAGAGGTTGGAGGTGACTGTGCCGTATGAACACCGTGCAAAAGAGCAAAAATATCTAATTATTGTAGCATCTATATTTAGTATGGCATAAATCAACCCCATATGCTACACGAAGCTCATAACAAGTTAACCTCTATACCTTGGTGGGTTGCCCCCACAATTTACCTGGGCTCACTTGTACCCTTGGGCGGAGATAAACGCTAACTATGAAACTGTCCTGTGTTTGACAACAGGTAACCCACAATCTAATATGCTGACCATTGGGCCATGTGTGTAATACGACCACGAGCCAGAACCTCAACTGCGAAGTGGTGAGAATAGGGCAGACGATTGTGTTCTATAATAAGGCTGTCTCCTTAAGCTGGAAAAGTAGAGTTAACCGTAAACTCCGGTTTGATACTCTATGAGGAAAGATCGCCCTATCTTTTCAGCGCGAGATTCCTTTTCTGGTTTCTTAGATTCCCCTTCTGGTTTCCTAGATTCCCAGGGTAAGACTTGGGAGTAATCCTTTCCTCATAGAAAGACAGCCTTTGCTGAGCAAGTGTTTTTCGCAAAATAACTGAGTAATAGCATCATTCTCTTTGGTGTTATTGTGGACCTTGCACTTATCTTGAGCTCGTGCTCAGTCAAAACACACGTATAACTGCAGTGTTAGTGGCAAGGCACAGGACTTACCTGCTGGTCTACTACGGGTCGAAGAGGTTGCAGAAGCAGGCAAAACATCTTTAAGAGGCAGTGGAACAGCAAACTCGTTCTCTTTAGGCTTTTTCTTTATGACAGGCATGACCGGAGGGGGAGGCATGAGCTCCGAAGATTGTTTTTTGCCGTCAACAGGGGCAGCTTCACCTAGATTTAAGATGGAGGAGTCCTAGAACAAAGTCATCAATAGGCAGACAGAGGGAAAAAAGAACAGACATGTTAGCACTGACAAACGTGAACGAGGCTGCTGACAAGAAAGAACACTGGCATTAGTATGACTACAAAGTATTCACGCCAAGAGTAAAATGTTTCATCGCAACAACGCAAAGTCGGTTGATTCAGCGTGGAGAATGTAAGGCTAATTGATGTGTCCCCGTTTTGGATTGGGATCTTTAGTAAAGGAAAGCCTGGGTACAGGTACGGTTCACACTACCAGGGTTAAGATTACAAATCTTTTAACGATCTACGCTGTCCGTGCTTCCACAATGCGCAACAAATAATCTAAGGTGTGATCCAGTGGAGGCAGTGTGGCCGATTGGTTAAGACTTTGGACTTGTATTATCATTAACCGACCTCGCATGATTTTTCCCTCAACAGGCAAATTGCTGATATGAACCTGCATCGTGCATTCACAATGGCGTTTGAACAAGACGATAAAAGCAATATGGCGATACTAAAAAACATCAAGAACAAGCCCAAAGCACCTGATGTCTTGGGCCACTTGTTGAACTCTGATCTTGAGCTGAAGAACCTTTAATTGGTATCTGAATTCGAGTTTGAAAAATCATTGTGAAAAATCAAAGGGAAAAAGAAAAAAAGACAAACTGTTAGCAACTTTATAAGACAACTTAGTAGGTAAGACAAAATCTATCTCTGTACTATCAACATAGCAAACGGCTAAACAAAGAGTTATTGCTAACAACAGCAACATTAACATGATGCAATGCATTCCAAAAAGGCACCTTACATTCTGTGCATGAGCATATAAACGAAAAAGGTGCATCTCCTAAAATGACTTAGCTCTAAGGTAGGGTTAACGCTCGAAACGTTAGCTGTGAAACTCTTTATGATGGCCGATTTTCATAATCAACTCAACTGACAAAACCAAATTATTTTGTTTTACTCCCCCACCGACGCAGCACCATAGTTAACAGTATTTCGAAACTTACCCCCTTTCATGATTTAGGTGACTTACCTTCTCTTTGAACTTTCTCTTGGGTGGATCAGGGGGCTGTACTGCTTCTCTTTGATATTTCTCTCGGTCTCTGCAATTGGAAAGGAGATGGTAAAGTAAGGCGAAGAATAAGCGGGAGGAACGCTTGTAGTGCAAGGTAACACTATGCATGGGAAGTAAATCTTAGGGAGGAAGAGCTGTTCTGTTGTATTTTTAAAATCTTATGATTAACATCAGTTGCGACTCCCTTCAGAAGTTAGCCGTAAGCTTCCCTATCAGGTTCAATTTTCAGTTCGGTTCAAAGACTTTAGTATTTTAATAATCTTATCGGTTCAGACTTGTCGTAGATAAAATCAAATTTCTCTTAAAAGCTAGCTGCCCTCACAGAGCTTAAACAACGAGAAATATGCTCAAAGCGCTTGATTTAGTTAGGTTGACGCTAATTTCCGACCATTTTTTCGGTATATTCAATGAAACAAACTAATTTTTTGGTTTCTCTGTGGTATATACTAAAACATTTATTCGCCTCAGTGTCGATGAAAGTGGTGAATACTTACCTCGTCACCTCTACTTCGGTGAATAGGTGTTAATTAAAAAAATCCTCGCGCAGCTTACCACGACTCGTATTAAGTTAGGCGGGCCGAACGAGAAGATATTTGGCTCGAGGTCCTGACGTACGGACCGAGCGCAACAAGGTCCGTACTTCATAATTGAGAGCCATATAATATTTTCCCATCCGGCCCGACCACATTTAGTCAATAAGCACTTAACCCTATGAACACTAAATGTTGAAAATCTCGAAAATTTGTCTCAACCTAAAAACAGAACGAAATAGATTCTGCAATCAAAGTATTCCTTTGTTTTTCGAGTCAGAACAAGAAACTCACAATTTATTGAAAAACACAACCTTTTTTCACCCTTTTTTTCCATTAAGTTTTTGCAACAAAGCCGTGTGAGCGCAAGACGGGACGGCTTTTTACGGACCTTCAACCCATTCGGCCCTACACATGTTAGCTTTCACTATGGTTTTCTGTGAGATTGCCCACGGGGCCGTAAGGGTCATTTAATGAAATAGGTTAATTGGAAACTACTGATACCCTTCAGATGATGAAGTTGGTTCTCCAGGTTGATATTCATTTTCTCTTGAAGGAAGCTAAAGAGAAAAATTGTACAAAATGGTTACAATGATAATACTTGGCGCAACGGAAACGCCAGGTTAACTTATTTCATTGGATTTTAACGGTTCGCTTTTCACTCTACAGTTAACAGGAGCATGTAACGTGAGAGTACAGATATAGAGCTTTTTCGAGAAATGTCATCGGAAAAAAAAGCGTACAAGTGCACGTGACAATCCGAAAGGTGTGTGGGGCGTTTCCAGTTACGGTACCTTTACCTTAGGATTTCACGAAAATTTGAAAAAACGTCACTGTAAGGACGAGGCATCGTGGGTTTGATGAATTTATTTAGTTATTTGACCTCTTAAATTCACTGATTACCGGTTACCCAGATTGCCTTTCTAGATTGTCTCGAAACAGCTGTATACAGTGTCAGGAGGCCATATATCCCACCCTGGAATACTCCAATTTTCCCTTCTGTATAAACACGATTAAGTGTATCTCCTTGAATGTCCCACGACGTATTGAATTCGGATTTACATCACATTCCTGGATAACCTCTGATGTCTAAGTAGAAAAATACTACAAGAAGAGAAATAACTTAAATACAAACCTGAACAGGATCCTGAGTTGGGTGCTGAAAAGGGGCCTCTGGCTGAGGCCCATATGGTAATGATCCAACTGGAGGGGCTCCAAGGGGAGGAGGGACAGGAGGAAAGCCAGGATATGGTGCAGGTCCCCTCGGGGGTAAGTTATTGGGTGGTCCACGATTGCCATAACCAGATACTAAATAATCATAAAAATGGAATCAATTATCATCAACAATTTTAAATAAACAAGGTGGAGCAAAATCTTGTGATTTGCAAGTGGTAAGCAGGTAGTTAATTGATCTGTGTAACATTGTCAAATCAGAACATGTTGATCTACCCAAGTTCAATACTTTTTGTATCATCAATAATAAGATTACAGCGTTTGCTTTGACATAGTGTTTGTGGCTGCATAGGGTGGCTGGATCCCTTTTTTTCAATGGAACAGAATATCCTTGTGAAGAATATCATTTGCAGCAGAACCCAGATAGATTATATACATGCTATTTGTTGGCAGTTATTTGCAGATAGAGTGGTGAAAATTCACATAAAAAAGCATCGTATATCATGACACTTATGCAATGCATTGCATGGGTTGTGTTGCGATCAAGTGCTTTCCATCAACATGTATTTTGTTTGTATCAAGGCTACCTAAAATTTAAAAAAACCTGGCTTATTTCCATATAAATGGAAGGAGAATACCAATTCATGATGTATGTGTGGGTGAACTGTGCTTTCCTGCACATTGTGAATACCAGATAGATTGCTTTTACTCTGCACTGTTGACTTTACTAGGCACTCAAAACTTTAAGACTACTTTGGACAGAATCAACTTTATCTCCTCTCAAACATGACCTGTATACTAAGGGCAGCTTCTAATCTCAGTGACCAAGATTTAAATTTGATTCTAAGCCTTTGGTCTGGTGTGTTATTTTTACTCAACTTCAAAATAGCTGTTACTTACCTGGGGTTGGAGGGGGCCCATATCGAGGAGGGCCAGGAGGTGGAGCACCATGGTGCATTGTTGAGGGTGGAGGCTGTAAAGAGAATGGTAATGTTATTAAATTTAACATAAATGCAACTCAGAAATCTTGCTACAGCATATAGATACACATGGAAATCAGATACTAAAACACTAGTACAAAGAGTAAGGAGAAATTGCTTGCACTTCCATAACCAACTGAACAGTAGTAACACTTTAACCCTTTAAACCCAAACATCAGTGCACAAGTTCTCCATACTGTTTTCCATACGTTTCTTATGGTGCTTTCAAGGAGAGGTTGTCTACAGATCACAAGCTTCTCAAGTTTGCTCTCATTTCTTTAATCTTAAGACCTAAATGTTTGACTCAGAGGTTTTACTTATGGGAGAAATTAAATGCTTATTGTTCTCAGGGTTTAAAGTGTTAATGAAATGTTACCCTGCTACTTGAAATCGCTCAGGAAATACCTGCATTGGTGGAACATGATAAGGATTACTGTACAGGTATCCTGATGCTGGGGGAGGCTGGACAGATTGTGGGTAGCCATTAGCTGGAGGTTGTGGTGGTCTTGGATATCCGTATGGCCCAGGCTGTGCAAAAAAACAACTCATCAAACTGTAACTAATGGTTTCAGAAGAGAAACGTACAGCAATTTATCAAACTAATAATTTATCAAACTCCAATGCATCGGAACATAGTCAGAATTTCCTCTCAGCCACCAGTCCAGGAATGCCAATCACTCAGAAACAACACACATGTACAGTGTACATGTTAATAAAGTCTGTATTGTTATTACAAAAAGTTACCACGCAAATTTGTATTCAAGCCAGTTACAACTGATTTTCTTTTTACTAACCTGATATCCTGAAGGTGTCTGACCAATATTGCTTTGGTTTCCAGCTGTTTGAATGACAAACAGATATTTTTTACTTCAAAGACACATTTAAAATAAGTCAAAAGCAAAAAAAATTGATATGTGCCCAGTTTAAAATTATAACAAACAATACCAACTAATTTTCATATATTTACAGTCATTCAACACTTCACAGGTTTATCACGAACCAACATAATGAGCAGCACCCAGTTGGCATGTTAGCTCAGTTAGTAGAGCATTGCACCAGTATCACAAAGGTCATGGGTTCAAATTCTGTACAGGCCTCATTTTCATTACTGCTTACATACACTGTGGTGTTCATTACTGTGAAGATCACTTTCAAATTCAATACCGACTAAAACTTGAAGGATGAAGAACTTGTAATAAGAATAATTGTGGTCAGTGTAAGTAGGTGCCACAAAACCTGATACTTTGGCACATGATCAACTTGACAGCTTAATATTGGAGAGCAATATCAGCAGATGGCAAATCTAAACCACCATCCCCTTTCTTAACCCTCCATTGAAAAATAAATTGAGCATATCCCAAGTTAACAAAGTACCAAACAGCAATATTTTAAAACAGTGTATGAATCAAGCAAGGGTTTCAGTTACTTTTTTCCATACCCAGGTTAAGGTGGTTGTGCCCAAAAAGGGAGGCTATAAAGCAAAACCCAAACATGAGAGTCTGATCACAGGCTTAACAGACGAACTGCTAAGAGATCTTGTGTGTGGCAGTAGGCCATCAGAAACAGACTTTTATGGAAACCCCTGTTCAAGTATGTGTAAGTCCTACAATACCTATAGAAATGGGCCTACAGAAAGACTGTTTTAGTGCAAGTAGATTGTGCATGAATTGTGGGGTTTGAATTCTGACAAATGTTTATTCCACAGAGTTTGCATTTGTTCCAGACTCTACATTTATTTGTGCATACCACAAATCATACATTGAACTGATTCAGTTTTAGGAAGGTGCACATGTAGTCATCATTCACTATTCATATTTGTTATCATTTTACAAGTAAGCACCATTTGCTTAGTCCAAAGATGAAATGCCAAATGCCCTTGGCATTCCTCCTTTGTATTCAGCTAAAGTGCTATAGTTTATTAACTTGCAATCCAATCACTAACCATTCATGTATGGTGAATACCCATAATGTGATCTTCTTGTTTGCTCATATGCTTTGTATTCTGTATGAACCTAAGAAACAATTTATATGATCACTAAATAGAGAATATCATTCCATTACGTATCACTGTTAATCACAGGATAAGACATTTATTCCTACTTGATGTGGTCAAAATGCATTAACTGAACATCAGAAATAGGGTGCTGTGACATGAATCATAAGGTAGTTATTAAGGAATTATAATGTGTACCAAACAGTCAATATCTAAACTCATATCAAATGGTAATCTTAGTTAAAAATAATTTGTTAGTTTTGCGCTTAGATAGAGTTGGCTATAGCCCCCAAACTCCTTACTTGAATAAAATATCATTGTCACTAAGAAACCATTACAGTACTGTAGTTTTCCAAAGAAACAGAACCAGAAAAAACCTTGAGTTAATTCATCATCAACCTTGACTTTTTTTCACTCCATGCTGCATTCTGTTTTCTTTATTTACTAAATCAATTGAGCAGATTTCTTTGCTTCTTGTGCTACAAACCAAAAAACACAACTAGGAACTTACTGTTTGTATGAGATTTTCCACTAATGTCTTTGCAGCTGTTAAACCATCAACTCTACCATGACTATGAGTGCAGACACATTGAGAGAGATGGAAAATAAAGATACATTTATTTATCAAAACTGTTTTGGTGCAGTAACTTAATTAAGTTGTAGAATGAACATGAATTATGTGATTTCACATTCATATAAAACTCTACATCTTTCTAGCTAGTTGATGATGCAATCAGAAAAACATACACTCAGTTTTTGTTTCTCCACATCAATTGGTCATGGCATGAATATGATTAAATATCTAAATGGTGTATACCCTTTGTCCTCTGTGCTATTCATTCAAGAAATTAATCTTGGAGTTTAGCGGCATGTATTTCATTTATAAAATTAAATCTAGTTATCATGAGGAACAGCGAGAATTTTGGTAAAAACTTGCAGGATGCCCTTCACCTTTCATTCGTCTTCAGGAGTCAAATGCCCCAATAAAAAAAAAATTAATGCTCACCTTATATAGATGTAAAGTGCTTCAAATGCTTCTTTTCCAGATGTAGGTTCAATATAGCCTGATCCCCGACCACGAAGTTGAACCTTGTAGAACAGAAAATAAGTGTTATAACTTCACTGACCACATCTCATCAAATTAATGATGTTTGGTGGTCTTCTTGAATAATAGAAAACCAAGGCTCTTACTGTTCTGTTTTTTTGTTCTTTTGTACTTTGATTCCTCTCTTTGGTGTTTTTTGGTTTTTTATCTTGACAGATATTAAGTAGCTGCTACCTCACAAATAATGAAAATCTCATCCTATCCTCTAAGATCTTAAACAAGAATTCAGTGTTCCCTTACCTTTGCTCCTGTTTGCATAGTGATATGCTGAAAATATGACCCCTGAAATAAAATAAAAATAGTCCACTGTCAAATGATTTTGAATGTCACTGTGAAATCTTTACTAAACAAAGACTGACCATCTGGTACATGAGGTGATTATGACATTACAGCTACCACATTCACATGCTTGGACACATTTTTGTATGCTAAAATTAAATTCAAGACTTTCTCCAGACTAAAAATAAACATGAATTGTAAACATACAATAACTAGTTGATCACACAATTGTCTGCTTCATACCCCTGGTCCTTGTAACTTCTCTTTAACATTAAACTCAGGTAAAGAATTATCCAGACCAACAAATACTTTGTCTTGAACATAGTGCATCTGTGATAAAAAGAAACTCGAATGATTCTGTAGATGATAAAAACATTACAGCTGTAACACAACCTGGCCCCCATTGTTCAAAGGGTGAACAACTCCCTTCATTGAATAAATCTCTGTCTGAAGGATAGTGCAGTACGTTCAGCTAACACTTATCTGCTGGATAGTGATTCATCAGTTGGAGAGCGGTATATGCCCTTTGAAGAACTAAGAGCAGTTTAGTACAAAAGACTTAGTATCCTATCTGTAAAAGCTAAGTTTTTTTGTTTGTCTCACGATGTAGTCATGTGTGAAGGATCTACATCACACGTGACTACATCGTGAGACAAATGAAAAAACTTAGCTCTTATTGTTATTCACCATGATGAATAACCACAACCTTTTCTACCCTATCTGTGTGAGTATTTTTTTCTAGCAAGTTTACTTTCACTTACAAAGATTATACCATTTGACACAACTAGAATGAATAAATAAGTTACTTACTAATAGTTACATCAGACACACTGCAGTTTTATCTCATCTTAACCTTTAGCTTTAGGTCACTGCCTCATTTTATGCTGACCATTAAATTTCCATTTCTTAGCTTAAGCTTCACCCTCCCCACTCTTGCAGCAGGATGTATATTCTCTATACTTTACTCTATACAATTTCATGAATTGTATCAATATTCAGAGTCATTCCTCTTACCCCGGGAGGTAATGGCTGTCTGTCAAACATTGGTGAAGGTTGGTTGAAAGCAGGTGTGGCTGCAGGTGATGTCACAGGCATCTTCTGAGGCTGAGAAGGTGGGAGAACATTGACGTCTGCACCAGCCATTATCTCTCGAATCCGTTTCACAGCCACTAGAGAAATATTCAACATGTTTATTATACCAGATCAGACAAACCAAGAGTGAAAATTATTCTGTGCAGGTATGATCTTTCCTGTGTTCAACTTACAATCAACTTTTTCTTGTGTGAGTCCCTGAACACATAGGTACAGTGGTTTTACTCTGAAAAAAACAGAAGTGACATGGTTAGGAAATGTCAGTGATTCTAAGAAGGTGGAAACACATGAACATTGGTTTCAAACTTAAGGACTACTTCATTTTTAAGCAGACAAAGGGGTTACAATAGACAACAGAAACAGTAGTTAACACTTATTATTTGAAGACTGCCTGCCTCACTTAGAAACATGGAGACCTAATGGTTGGTGCACTGGACTTTGGGTTGAGAGGTATGGGCCAGGCCATTGTGTTGTGCTCTTGGGCAACACAGTACCCTTCTTCTCCCAGGAGTATAAATGGGAGTCAGTGAATTGTCAGGGAAGCCTGATGAAATGTTGGAGGTAGTTGTGTGATAAACTGTCTCCCTTCCAGGGAGGATTTAAAATGCTCCTAGTCCCATCATGCTAAGAAAACCAGGATAAACTCTAGCTGTATGGGCCACTTGGCTCTCAAACAGACTTTACCTTTACCTGCCTCACTGCTATTGAAAATGTCTCAGCACTATTGAAAGAAGTTGTAATCTACATGAAACTGGTATATTTACCCTGTTCCTTCTGCCTCCCTCTTTTCATTTTCAGACATAAACTTTCCTCTGGTGGAGACAGCAGCTCCACTGTAACGATTGATCTGAAATTAAAGGTAACATTGAAAGTTTAATACTGATTAGGACCTTTAATACCAAATGTAACATATGCCAATTCTAGGCATAGTGTTATAATAATAATCACTATCTTAACCCTTTAACTCCCATGAGTGACCAAGACAGAATTTCTCCAAACAATATCAATACAATATCAAGCAGACAAGTGATGAGAATAAAGCAAAATATCAAGTAGGTGATTATAAGTCGATCCAATACCAAATTCTCCAAATCAACATCACAAGAACTGTATGTCAGACAATAAGGAGAATTACTAATGTGATCTTGGGAGTTAAAGGGTTGAGCACTAGTAACCCTTGAACTCCCAAGATCTTTAAGATGATTCTCCCCTTGCAAGTAAGTTATGAGAATTTGGTGATAGATCAAGAGAACTTCTACCTCGGTGAATAGTTTGAGTATACTCATTACTTGTTTGCTTGATAAATACATGGATCATTTAAGGAGAATTTACATGTTAATCACAACTGAGAGTTAAACGGTTAAATTCATGATTCAAAGTTTTCATTAAATTCAAAGTTTGTGCCATGCAACTTTTCATTCTTGATTAGTGGATAAAAAATAAGCTGATTTTTATCAACTGATTTCTTCTTCTTTGAAGAGGGTATCAAATATAAATTGGGTATCCCATTTTGTTGTTATTTTCTGAAACATGAACCTCTCTGGCCAATGGGAACAGGAAAAGCAAGGGCTTCTCTGTGGTGTGCATGTACTTAGTACATGTAGCACTGCAAGTTTCTAGTACCAGAAAAATTAACTTTGATGATTTGAAACAAAAATAATAAATTTCTACCTCATCTTGTGTTGTGCCTTTACAGAGGAGAGTGCTGACAAGTCAAAAAACGAATATAAAAATAAATCAACACATGTAAACATAAGAATGATAAAACATGAAAAGAAGTACAAAAACCAAAGCATGGAATGCAAAATACATAAAGCAGGGCATGAAATTAATTTTTTTTCCTGATAGCCACTTGGCTCCTGAATTTTTCAAAGTGGTAGCCAATTCGAAAAAAGTTGCTTGCCATTTTTAAAGACAAACAGAACCTTTTTTTCCCACTGTCTGCCTTCTCGACAGACCCACCAAAATCAAGTTAGGAAAAAGATCTTTTACATGCCACAAAGTGGACACTAGGATGGATGATATACAACCTTCAAGTTCACCTAAATCCAAGATGGCATCTAGTCATCGATTGAGATGCACGTGCAGCATTTTCGAAACAAACTTAACAAGGAAGTTTGCTGTGGATTTATCTTTGCAAATCTTTTTAACTCACTATATCTCTAGGTAAGGTTATGATGAAGCATTCTAGTCGCCAATTTTGCAACTAATTTTCAGGATTTGGTCCCCAAAGGAAAAAATTTAGTGGTATTGGCATCTGTATTAGGCACAATTTCACACCCCGTAAAGTAATAATTGTTATACACTTGATTTCAGCCATTCACAGGATGAATAAGATCATCTAACCTTCTATCAAATATGAAAAAAATTCGGAAAAAATAATGAAAACACGGTAGACTTATCATTACATGAAAAACACTACACTAACATGTTGAATAATTTACCCAACTGGTTTACTGGGAGTTGAAAAGAAATGCTCTTGTTGATAGCATATACTTAAAATATTGATCAACTCAAAAAATATCTTTACATGTTGTATTCATCACTTGTAATTTCTAAGCATACACACGAGCCCAAAGTTTCAAGAAAAAACAAAAGACTTAAAGAATATTTCATGGTATATCACTCAAAAGGGTTGCATATCTGTTATATTTTTCATACCGGGCTGCAGAATCATTTATCTCCACTTCAGCAGTAATAAGATCTTGACTAAAACTAGTGGCACCATTGTTAACAGTTACTGATGGAGGGGGAGTCACTTTTGCTGCTGGTGATGGACGGCCCTTAACATAAACACAATACACAGTGTAACAATGAGAATAAAGTAATATAAACTGACACTATCAACTCACACTTTCAAATAAATACTTGCCAATCAACCAAAGCAAACATCATGAAGGGGCAATTACAAACTACACTAAGAGATCTTAAGTCTTTCAAATTGTTCCAACTTCTGTGGATTGAACCTAGGTGGTAATCCAAATAAAAATATCCCCTCACTTTTATAAAGAAAATTAACAGTTACCACTGACCCTCGGCAAATTTCCCACACCTTTAGAGGTTCTTTATTTTTCCCTGCATTAAAACAATTATACTGTACAGACTTCTTGCAAAACAAACAAATGCTTTACCACAACTGGAGGTGGATTGCTTTTGGCAAGCTTCCCTTGAGCGGCCAACATTGCATTCAATTTTGCAGCCCTCTCTTTTGCAGCATCAGTAGCTGACATGTTTCCATTTCCATTACTACCCTCTCCCTCGGCAGAGGGTACATCCCATTTACTTTTTCTTGGACTATAAAATAAAATAAAAGATCATTGAGAAACAAGGTTATGTATATATATCATATTATTAGTTTTCTGCACGGTTACAACAAAAGTGATCAATAATAGCTTGTAAAGAGTAATTCCTGGGGTTTAAATATCTTTTCTATAAGCAGCTGCCAATGGTGTAAGAGGCTACTGTGCCCAGAAAAGGGGCAGTATCACAAAACCCAAATGTGAGAGCCTACTTGCAGCCTAAATAGACAGCAGTGAGGTCTTACAGGAGGCGGTAGACTTCCACTAACCAGCTTTTATCAAAACACTTGAATTATTAGATTTCTCAAAGACTAACAGTGGGCACTTCTTTCATTACTTCATTTTCAAGTTTAGTTCATACAACCAACTAGATATTGTCTAATTTGATTATGATTCCAAACATCTCCCTGAAGCATAAAAACACTTTGTGGCAGTCCCTGTAGTTTTATTTCCAATTTAATTTTGTCACCCCTACACTGTAACCTTCTTTTGAAATGAGCTCTTGTAAAGTGGTTCCAAAGATACCTATCACTGAAAGAAATTACTCTACACCTGAACACGGTTTTATTAGACCACGTCACCAGGTAGCAAACACATCAAAACAACAGGAAATAAAAGAGATTCCCATATAAGAAAAACCCCGTCAATCAAAGACTAGAATAACAACATTCTCTTAAACATTCTTTCTTGCGAGAGGGCAGCTTCCACTAACATCGCCTTCTCAGAAAACGACAGCGATCAAACAGACTTTTGTTGCACACAACAATGACTCAAGTGACTCCGGCTACCTTATGACCAAGATTCAGGCTACAAAAAGTATAAATCCCAGACTTTTAGAGCTTAGGAAGATAAGTGAGACCTCCTCAACAAATGTTAAAAAATACACTTTGAACGAGAATTTGAGAGATGCGCATGGTGAAAAGACTGGTGAGATTTGAATGCCAAAAAATGGACCAGATTCATACACCAAAAGAGAAACCATACATCCAGATTTTCTTTTCTTCAGGGATTTGCTAATTTTTTCTAAGATGACCCGTGTGAATCAAGATCGGTCAGGAAAAGCAACTTACCGCCGGAACGCCGCCATCTTGAATTTCACACGCACTGAGAAAGTGTTGCATGATGGGTTAGAATTACTAATAAGGCGGGAGACTGGTAGCAAAATAATATTTTGGGGGACCGTACAACTGATTGTTATTTCAGGGTTTTGCTGCGATTCCATATTCCATACATCGCTAACAGCTGACCATGAAGAGGGGTTCTTTAATGATATTTCTACTAATGTCTTAAAAACTCCTTATTCAAAGGATTAAATTGTTATTTTTAGTTTGGCTTGGAAAATTGAAAATAGATTCACAGGTAGAAGAGTCGTCTTTGACTGCATTTACAACCAAATTTACCCAACCATCACAGCGAGACACGATCTTTTATCTAGACTACACAACAATACGTCCCACTGCGATACGCGTTCCTTGAGACCCATTCGGCATGTGCGTGACAATAATCGGCAAGTAAACTTTCTTTTCTTCGCTCAGAAAACAAAGCTTTGCTAGGTGCCGAAAAAAGGCAATAGCAAAAAATTCACTCTCAATTTCTTCGCGACCCTTCTTTCAAAGATCGGGAGCTATTGTAATTAGTACATTTTCAACTTCGATTATTTCATTTCTAGTGGTCTGATTGGTTCACTCAACTTAGTTGCGTTTTAACATTGGATTGCGTTTTGTGTGATTTGTGGCTTATAATATTTTTCAACAAGCAGGTCTCTTAACTACTGCAAAACATTGTGCGGTGTGAGAAATGCGGTCCGTTTCGCACTAATCATAGTTTTTCTTACAGATACCTTTGATCTAATAGTTGATTTGTGTTTCTGTACACGTGACGTTTTCCAACTGGCGGCTTGATGAACAATTAAGTCCATTGTTACAAATTAAAAAGAATTACATGGCTTTATTCATTTGTAAAGCTTTGTCAATTCTGACAGCAAGATTTCATTGAGTGCTTTTTTCCTTTTTCCCTTGGTATGTCGGACGTGACAGTTTGGCGCGGGTTTTGTTGTAATCCACGTCGATGTTCTCTGTCTATTTCCTGCAAACAAGTTCGAAGCCATCTTCATTATCACAAACGGTTACTTCTCTACGTATCTGTTTGGGACGTCTTGGACGCTCGTGACTAAAGCGCTGTATGGCAGGGCGCTCTTCAGATAGATGAGATTTCCACACTGCAATGCGCCCGTCCCGTGATCCGGGACCCGAAATAACGAGTCCCTCGTCCGTGAGGCACATAGAACGGACACGGTCCTGGTGAAGAGACAACTCCTGAAATAAAAGGAAATAAAATCGATAATAAATCTGTATAATTTCTACCACAATAATATGCATGCAAAAATCGCAGCATGCTCATTGGTTGATAGCACGTCAATTTATCCTGTACTGTGCAAAAAGATACAATTGAGTACAGAAAGTTGAAATTAAATTGATTGACAGGAGAGTTGCGTGTCAAATTGCTGTCAATTGCCTATCAAATTGATTGACAGGAGAGTCGACAGGAGAGAGAACAACAAAACGAAACGCCGCGCAGGTTGGGAGAAAGTAAATGATTAGCTAAAATTTGTTAAGTTTTGGGCTTCCAAAACAGGAAGCCCAGATCAAAATTCTCTCGGAGTTTACGCAACAGTTCATACGAAAGACGGAATTCAATCACGAGCCTGAAGGCCTTCATGTACTGGTTACTGCTGTTACGCGAATTATAACTAGGAAAGAGTGCAAACACGCCATCAGTCCTGACAGAAAGTTTATAAGCTCGAAGCAAATTCTTGCCGGAAAATCCCGACGACTCCGGCAACAACACAAAGGTAAGCAGTCGCACCAGTGAATCATAAACACGGCTAAGAGGAAAACTGAGTCAAATTTTTGCATGTATAGTATTAAAAAGTAATCATATTTTTTTTTCGAGTAGTTAGGATAAATCAACAATCCCAAATTTTTCAAAGGTAACAAAATGCACTCGCCCTACGGGCTCCTGCAATCTGGCAAGCCTTTGAAAAATTAAAATAATTTTGGTTTTATCAACTGAGTTGCATCCTCTCCCTCTTTATCAGATCAGTTATTCTTCTTCCTCTTTATTTGATCTTTTTTCCCTATAAACGTTCGCTAGCAAGGGACACATTTCCCAAGGGTAAAAAAAAAAGACCGGTGCGATTACAATCCCGGAAAACCCACACTTCAACTCGATCTCTAATATAAGAAGAGAAAGATTTGAGATGTTTCTTTAGCTCTGATTTCCCATCACGGCATTCCATAAAACACCTGCCAGCTTTCAGACAATCTTAAGTCATTTGAGGAAAAGTCAGATATTAGTCACTCCTAGGAGAAAAAACTTCAAATTTTAAAGTAGTAAATCAACTAACACCAGTAAATATCGAACATACCATAGTAACTTGGAGTTCCTTGACACTTATCACATAGATTTTACCACTTTTACTCCCCGCCCAGATCTAGACGACAAGAATTAGAAAGGTAAGAATTGAATTGAATTAAAAACTTTGTTCTCCTACAAAAAATAGTCGATCGATATCATGGATTTGCTAAATTCTTCAGAAAAATGCCACCAACAGTTTTTGTAATCCGGTTTGAAAAATATGAAACTCCAAGATATACTTGTCTGCTCGATCATCCAGAACGGTTGTCCCTTTGGCGCACTCTTGTTACAATAAAGGCAGTGTTACCTTCAGTGATTTTTCAAAGAGATGAATTCTAAAACATTTATTACATCAACACATAAATTGTTTTGAAATTTACCTGAAGGTGCTCCCCAGAGGATTGAATAGAAACAAATCATATCCAAAATACTAACATTCCTTACTTGTAAGGAAGCAGACATTTCCTCTACATGCAAACAAAATTTCTTGACGCTTACTGTTACATGTTTTAATAGATCTGCCAATCATTTATTGCATATTGCCTAACTTATAGAGTCACACTAAAAACCAGCCTTTTTACCGTGTTATAATCCACTTTCAGCATGCATGTGAACCCGTTGCATTCGCAAACTATTTGGTGTTTATTTTTATAGGTCGCAGTGTTCCAGACAACGACAAGGCCCTTTTTATCACACCCTGTCCAAATCTAAATAAGAAAAAGAAGTAAAAAGTAAATGAGTGAATTAATAAGTCAAAAAAAAAAAAAAAAAAGAAAGAGAGAAACTGCGAAGAAAAAGAAACAGAAACGTTTATATCATAACAACCATAAGACAGTTAAGATTAAACATTATGCGGCTTAAATTGAGAAGTCACGAGCAGACGACTGACACAGAAATGAAAACAAAAATAAAAATGTAACAAAGGTTGAGCACCAGCAACTGAACTAATAAATTCCTCACTCACTAAGGGAAAAAAAGGAACCGAAACGAAGTAGCGTCGTTCAAACCATCCTGGAAACACTGAACCCACACCAAGACAAACCTGCCAAGTTGTCAACCATGACGTGCGGAGATAAAATTTACATGGTTGCCAAGGCAGAGTTTTCACTTACTCCTTACGCCCCAGTATTAGTGTGAAAGTTCCCCATACTGTTCTCTAATCTATTTCCTAATATGCTGTCAAGATTCTGTTTTAAGCTTTCCTCAAATTGATTGAGTTAACTTGTTCAATGTATTGGAGAATTTGTTTAACAGCCAAGAGCTTCTTGAGTTTGAGATCATTTCCTTTATTCTCATGACCCTAATGTTTAATTCGAGGATGATACTCTAAGGAGAAACTAGATGGTTATCACACCTAGGGGTTCAAAGGTTAAGGGGCCTTTTAGGAACACTCACCTCCTCATTAGATACTGCACACATGGTGTCCACGCTCATCAGTCCGTCTTCCTTAGGAGTTAACATTTTGGTTTCATTGTCGTCTCTCTTGTAATTTATCACGAAAATATTAAACCTGGTTGCTATGGAAATAAGCAAAAAAAAGGTGCTGGTAAACATGATATTCAACGCTTCTAAACCTACACAGATATGCAGCTACATAAATCAAAATTTCAATGTAATTTGCCATTAAGAGTGCCGTTGCTCCTGAAGTAAGATTTTGCTAAATCCAAACTGATTTAATCGAATTTCCCGATGACTTGGACTTTCAAACATTTACTACCTTGAATCATCTTTCGTTTTCCTTGGTAGCTCAAGATCGAAAAGTTTTAGTTCTAGCAATTTCTAAAGGGGCACAAAAGCTCTGACCAGTACTTCCATGACAAACCAAGCTGATTTTAAACCGAGGGTGAGAGTCTTCCTTTAAATCAACACTCGAGCCCCGAGACGACTACGACAGGAAAATTGTGGCCATAAAATCAAACTACGTGTACTCATCCCTGGTAACAGATAAAACAGAAAAAGTAGCGTCATTTAAAATCATATTTTGAGACTTAATTACATGTCAAAGCCATTAAATCCCCGGCGAGGTTATTGGAAACCCCAGTTATACCAGTTAGGGCTAAGCTGAATACAAAAAATATTTCGCTGTTCGAGCTGGAATTGCAGGGCAATGAAATCCAGTCACCCCTATCGTGTTTCAAACAGCTTGGCCTTGATTAAAATCCATTTATGAAAAGCCACTCACAGCAATAATACTGTCACGTACCACACCAGAATGTGTCTCCAACAGCAGCGATCGAGTACAGCGTTTTGCCATTTCTTTGATCCAGCTTTACATGAAGCTAAAAAAGACAACTTTTGTTTAGAAGGGTTTATGATCCATCCATGGATATCGCCAGCGCTTCCACATGCCCACAGAAAATGTTTGCATACGTGTGAAATATCGCACATATACAGAGACAGTGGGCTGTAAAATGCAAAAGCTATTCCTAAAGAATCGTAGCATCTGTAGAAAATCTCTTTCGTTTTTCTAAATTTCAAGTTACA